GTTTGCTTTATTCAGAATTCAACTGACTCTTGTTCAAGTCAAGTCTCAAGGATGCCTTTCTCCTGCCAGATGATGATCCAGCAGTGGCAAAAGAGCTCAATCGTCGATTGAGCCAACGGAACAAAATGGATACCAAGGAAGACAAGAAGAAAAAGAACACCGATGTTGACAGCAAAGACACCAGCAAGTGGCAAACAACGCACCAATCTCTGGCAGAGACACGCTACTCGGTTTCAACTTACTTACTTGTTTCACAACAACCCAAATTATGTATTAGCACCAGGAGGACAATAACTATAACTATAACTATAACGCAACTTAACTTAACTATGAAATAGCTTTCAACTTTGATGAAAAATGAAAACTCAAAACTTCACTGTTCATTGCTTGTCATGTGTGAGGCGGCTTACAATGGCCATTGACTGTGCCTCCTGATTTGGAAGCAAATGAATGGTTTATGTCATTGAGCGCCAGAGAGCAGGAGGCAAGTTCTCCACTGTGTGCTTTGTAAACTATTGCTGTACTCAGACTCAAATTCAAAACATTAATGATGTCAGGTATATTTATTCGTGCTGAAGAACCAGAAGACATTGGCGGATTCTGGCAAATCACAGATTCGCTTTTGTGATTTGTACCACAGCGCAAATCGCACTGCTACGTCCACTCATGAGGCAATGTTGATGTTTTTTTAATTCATTCTTCAGATGTTTACCTGGTCTGTTGTCAGGTGTTACCTTGTGTTCTTCCTTCATCACGTTTCATGGATATTGAGAGAGGAAGGCTGCTGATGGGTCACTTGGCCCGATATGGATCCAAAGTCAGTTGTGATTTTGACTTGCCTATTTAATGATTGATAATACTGTACTGATACTGATAATTTGGTAACTTCCATCCGACTATAAATAACTAACAACTGATCACTAACTTGTGATTGAGGCCGCGAAGCGCTTGCACTTCAAGGACTTCAATACCCACGCCATATCTTGGACCGTTTTTCAGAATCACAGCTGTACGACATCGCTGGCAATGCGTGACTTAAATTACACTTATTGGCAATGGTGTTGTTTAACTTTAAACTTAATTGACATTGAAATTTAAAACAAGTAAAGCATGGTTAACTAAACGCAGCAATGAGTGTGAAGCAAGTGAGGTATTCATCTACTGTATGCTTGGCTATGCTATTGGCGGGATTGATCGAGCTAAAGTTTGCCACAGCCAGCGAGAGTGAAGAGGAACTTGAAATTTCTGATTTGGTCTCACAGTTTCTAGGAATAATTGAATTGAACTCATAATCGATTCTAAATGCTGATAACAAACCAGGTTTTTGATGTGACCGTGACTTTGTTGTTTCACTTTCAAACCAAAGAAACAACACAAAACTACCAAAAGAAAAGAAAAGAAAAAAAACCGCCCAGGCTACAGAAACATCAGTGAGCGTGGCAAGCCTGAAGCTATGTCACTGAAGCAGTACGACTCGAGAATTTAAGGGACTCATTTCAACGTCAACAGAGAATAGTGCAGTGTACCGAGTGCAAAGAATTGAGTCGGTTCATGCTGCGGCTTTGTTTGCATTTTGCAATGAAGCTGATTGGGGCACGTGACTGGATTGTTTAGATGTGTTGTCTCAATTGTTGTAGTTGTTTCTGATATTGTGATAGCTGATCTGAGTCACTCTGTGCGTTAAGTTTCACTTCTTTTAATGGGTCTGCTACCTGCCAGGTGCTTGACTGGAAAAATGTAGCCACACACTATCGCATTGCTTGTCAAACCGTACAACCGTACACCATATCGCAGGCATGACTGTACAACTGTACCGTACGGTTGCGCGACTGCTCGTACAACTGTGCCGCACAAGCGTCCATGTAATCGCACAAGCTGCCGTACAAGCCATCGTACATACTCCAACATAGCCACATACACATGCCTCTTGAATTTAGATAAGTCATGTCCAAAGAGTCGGCGCGCAGGAGACCACTCCTTGCTGTGTTTCTCTCCTGCAAACGATCGCGTTCCTTGCCAAAGCACGCGCAACTCTAGATCTTGTCCAAGTGTCCTATACTCTGATTTGCGCGGTGTTCCAACACCCCCGAGGTCCCTGCTTGCTCCAGGTCAGTGAGTGATTATGGGTCCTTGGTTTTCCTAACACCCATTGAGCTGGTGAGCGCAGCCACGCACACGTCCAATTTCATTCTTGGTGACAACCACTTCACGGAGGCTAATTCCTAAACCCTTCGCGCCAGCAGCCTCGCAGTCACCAACGCTGGGCCTCAACATGCGCACGCTCGACTTTCCGAATAGCTAATGCCTCACATCCAAGACTTGCCAAAAGTTTGACGATGTCTCCGCGATTGTCTACTCCGCGGTCCATGGTCACCTGTTTGGGCTAACCTGCGACCTGGGCTGAGCTTGAAGTTGAACTGTGCTCCAACAGGACGATCTCCTGCACAACGCCCTTCGCCTGGGCTATCCATGCTCCCTGGCAACGCCAACTGACATCCTGATCCAGCATCAGGGATTCACGTGCCTGCAGGTGTCAACTGCAGAAAACCGCACCTTCAACAGACATGCGTTCACCAGACTTCTCCGTTGACAAACCTTTGTCAAACGCAGACAAAGACATGGAACTGGCGTCTGGTTTGGGCAACACAAGGGCTTGACGTACCATGAGGTCAATGATACTACCTCTGCGGTCAAGAGGTCCACCTCCTAACAGTAACCCCCGCCCTCCCCCTTGATCAAGTTCTGACCCAAATAATCCATAAAATACGGAAAAATTGGGTTCAAATCGAAATACAAAGAACATAAAGAGGAAAGAAAAAGAAAATGAAAGGAAAGGAAAGGAAATTCAGCAAGCATGAAGGATAAACTCCCACAATGGAAAGGACCAGGTGCTGAGGGAAGGGGTTTGTTGTTGTCGTTGTCGTTGTCGTCATTGTTGTTGTTGTTGTTGTGGTTGTCGTTGTCGTTGTGGTTGTTGTGGTTGTCGTTGTTGTTGCTGTTGTTGTTGCTGCTGTTGTTGTTGTTCTGTGTGTGTTGCGCGCGCCTGGAGCTATCAGCTTGGATGAACCTTGGTTTGGAAGCAGCTGAAAAGCAGAGCCCAGAAATATTTGGCATGACGTTGGGTTCGTTTTTGCCGGTTGATATAAATTAGGAAGTCAACATTAGCAAGCTGTTGTCAGACTTCTTGGATTGGGTACCTCACACACACACACACACTGGAGGCGACCGTGAATCGAATGAAGCGATTCTTCGACCCATTGGAAGTGACCAAATCCCTTCAGTCAAGCCACAAAGAGTGCAAGGAGGATGCCTAGACTGCTCGTTGGAGGACCTGCATGCATCTTGCGCGCGAGACAACACTGAAGCTGTCACTGGCATTGTCTGAATTCGCAGTCGGAGAAGAACTTGTTCCACGCGGTCTTGTGGGAGAAGGGATCCTGTATCCCACATAGACAAGCCCGACAGACACAGCATCTTCTGATTCATCTTCCTTGTTGTTTTGATTTTCATGATGTGGTAGTGGTGGTCGTCCTTCAAATACACAGACTCCATCATCACTCAATGCAATATATCATCCAACGCTCTGCTGCTGCTAGCGCCGCGTTTAAACAGCTTATCTTACAGCTCGGGTCGCCGGCCCCTCTAAATAACCACATCTCCACTTCAATAATACGCACCGCAAGGGTTTTCCTTTTCCTCGTCCCTTCTGTCTCAACTGCCAAGTCCTGTACGCGCTGAAGTCAGAAGTCGCAGATGTCTGTGGCGCCAGGGCACAAGTCACGAAGGTAGATCCTTCCATGGTGCTCTAAGATCACTGCAGCAAAGGCCTGGATGCAGTGCTGCTCCTGCTTGTTCAATCCAGCAGTCTCGAATAGAAGCTCTCACCATACAGGCATCAGAATCTTGAACTTGCCTGAAGCTGGTTACACTTTCACCTACCAGTTGACTCAACGGTCCGATCACCTGAATAGCTCTTTTGCATGAAGATGGAAGATGATAGTCTTCAGCTTGCCGATCAACTGTTCAATTCCATTTTCCTGCAGCAACAACCAAGTTCTGAGCCGCCAACCATGCATCACCTCTGAAGCCTTCTTGCACCAACGCAGCCCGTAGGCTCACACCTTCCGAAGCCACATACCCCATGCTCTTCGGTGAGGCAAAGGCATCGGCATCGGTACCAAGTTCTCCTTCCTCTTCTCCTCCTCCGGACACCAACGTGTTCGTCCAGAGTCGACGATCCAGACTTGCTAGCCTGGTCCTTGAGCTCAGCCATCTTCTTCTTGATCTTCTGGCTTATGAGCTCCATACGCACTCTCATCCGGAATTCCCATTCATGTCTGCTGCATAGATGTAGGAGCCACTCTTTATCTCCGCCGTGGGTAGAAGATCTGAAGCGCAATGCTGCAAGGGACATTGCTCCAGTCACACACAATCAACCAAGCTGCAACAAACACGCACATTCCTGGATCTGTGAGCTGCTGTCTGGGCTGGGAAACACTCTCCACCACCGGCTCGGCTACCGGAATGAATCTGGACACGATCCGATTGTCTTCGGATCCCATAGCTCAAGGGCCAGCCCAGTCGGCAAGTACTTGCTTGTCACACCCTGGCAGTTGTACATGGTGCAAATTGCTGGATAGAATCACACTTAGCTTTGGTTTTGAACTGGCACTTGCGTTTGATAGGTATCTCAGGCAATCTTCTCCACCGGCACGGCATATCAATTGCTGGTGGAACCCCATACCACAGCTGAATCGGTTTTGCAATTCAATGACATTGTTCGGAACATGTTTGCCTCCCAAATCTATATAACTGACTCAGTGAAGCATGTATATGTCCTTGACCATTCCATCGTTATTCTGTTAGCGTTAAGGCTGTTGGTACGTCGACACAGACCGATCATCTTAAGTGACAAACGCTTCATTAAGTTGCAAAGCCAAAAAAGTCTCCCGGCACTGGATGTCTAAGTACCAGTAACAAAGCCAACAGGAACCACACTCCTCGTTAAGCATTCGCATTGCAGTCTGCACAGCTCTCGATTGGCCTCAGCCCACATATGCCCCCAAGAGTCCATTTGCTCCAGTACCACACTCTTTAAAGTGAAACCCTGAACTGTTACGGTTGAGAACTTTAAGATCCTTTCATTGTTGCCCTTGGGCCATTGAGAAAGCCATATTCCTGAATCTTCCAGCTGCAAAAACACAGGAAAAAAGCTTTCAAGGTTAAGACCGTTTGAAGACGGGGCAGCGTAGCCAGCCTGACACCATCTTGCCGAGTGGAGGTTAAAGAAAGCAAGTGTCACAGCTGAGTCTAGCATTTGCTTTCAGCACTTGTTGAGGTTCATACAATCTCTGCTGCACTTCACAGACTCCGTGCCATCGTGGAGGGACAGTAACCATTTGTTGAAGGACAATAGCGATATTCCCCAAAAAAATAAAGGAGCGCCCACCACGCCTTTTGCGCACCATCGTTACTAATGGCCTCAGTAATGCAGGCGTCTTTTTGGATGCATCTTCTGCTTACGGAAAGTGCTGGCACCTCTGAAAACGAACCTCCAAATGCAGTCTCGTGCTCATGTTGCCAAGAGCAAAAGTGCTTGGAGCATGCACTCTGGGCCTACCCACATACCCCTTGAGAGCCGCATATGCCAGGTTGTTGTCGCCTACATCCTCGCAAGCCAAGTGCTTTCACTAGAGGTGCTCTTTCCAACAGAAAGAATTCTATCCTTTCCAAAACCGAGATCGATCCTCTCCAAAACCTCCTCTGAATCCTTCGAAGCCTGTTCTCCGACCTACTTCAAACTCTTTGCTTCTGGATCAGCTGCAATAGTTTACTGTGGCTGCCCTATTCATCTACATTTAGAAAAAGATAAGTCTAAACGATGTATAAGTATGATTTCTTAGTTATATAGATTTATTGACTTATTGTTTATCTGTTATTTGTTCCAAAGCTTTGACGCACCGAGCCTCCTGTTTCTTCAGCACAAGTGCGGCCACAGAGTCTCCGAAAACTGTGCCATCAGCGCCTGCATCAAAGGGCCGTACCTGGCAGTGTAGTGACTGCACACAATCTGAAAAAAGAAACTAACATGTTTATAGATAGATAGATAGATAGATAGATAGATCCTGGATTGAACAAAGTCAAAGGAATCAAAAAAAAAAAACATTGTCGTAAACAAACGTTAGAAAGGAAATTCTAAAGCAATCTGAGAGAATTTTCAAAGGATCAGAGGAATCGAAGGCATCAGAAGCAATCCCCACGTGTGGATTGCCAACTCCAGGCCACAACTACTTTCGACCTCCCATCATCCTCTTGCAGTTCTCGACCTTGCCTACAACTCTAGAATCTTACACCAGCAAAACTGCCAAGGTGTGTGAGGTCAGTTCTCTGGAATCATGTTATTCTCACAGTTTTAAGGAACCAAACAGGCCATGATAATTGAACGTATGACACGTGCCATACGTCGATCTGCTGCTGACCCCAGTGTGTCCTGTGAAAACAGGTAAATGCAATAAGCGTTTGTTCTGAGGTATAGGAGAAAAATGTATCACAATGAGTATGAAACCGCAACCATCAAATCTCAAGTTCCTTGTCAGCAATCAGCTCATTCAGGACAGAAGTAGCAATGTGCAATAGCCCATCCCAGCTCAAGCGCACGTAGCCGTCCATCGAGCTCACCAAACCATCGGCATAAAGGTACCTGGAGCAAACTCCAATGCCCAGTGAACGAAGGCATGAGGGGCCCCAGCGGTCCCAGGGGCACCCCAAATTTGGAAAGGTGATAGATGAAGCTCCGGCAACTGCAGCGTCCTCGGACCAATTCAATAGTTCATCGTGTTTCCCGCCTGTGCTGGCACCCTACGAATGAGAAGCTCAGCAAAGTAGCTCTGTGGAAACTGGCTTGGCACCCGGCACATTGACCAGCAACAATGGCTGAAGCTCCCTGCACCACCGCAACCAAAGCCGAAGAGCAAGCCGAGTTCACCTCACAAACAACACAACGACAAAACTTCCAGGAACGGGTCTGTCAACTTGATCCCTGGAGGCATGAGGCAGGTCTCCTGGCCGCCAGTGTACGGCCTTATTTGACTTTGTGCCTTCCCTCCATATAGTATTCGGAAGGCGAGGTCAGACCTATGGCTTTGCTTCTAGCGATGCCCACACAGGTCAAACGCTCCGCGATGCCCACACAGTCTTCGCATCTCCGTGAAACACCATTGCAAGCTGTATGTTCAGCTTCAAGCCCACAACCACCACCACAGCAAACAGCAAGTTGAGGACACCACGTTCATTGAAGGTCCAGTGAAATCCAAAAGGTATGAGACGCGTGTCGCAATGTAGTCCTCTAAGGGCTTGCAGGCGTTGGGAAGATCCTGGACCTCTCTGAGAAAGACTACTGCCACACGTTTTCGAACAGAACAAATCCACATTAGTTTGTCACAAAGCTCAGCCAACACAAACAGATCAGTTGACGTCAGAGTCGATCCCAGTGGGTCCGGTTGACATGCTTGACTGTGGGTTGTCCGCTTGTTGACACTTGCTGTCACCTTTTTGGACCTGGGTAGCACTGAACCAAGCACAGCCCAGCCGCCAAACCCTCCCTAAACTCGCTGGCTCCTTCTCGTTGCCAATCTCCGTGAGGAAAATGTCTTGCGGATTCAGAGTGTCCTCACAGGTGCATCAGGCCTAACTTGCTCAACGTTGAAAGGACCAGATGAAGTGCGGTCCTAGAGCGAAATATTCAGGAAGCCAAAATCAAAGATCTAAGTATCTGTCAAGTTGCCCGTTGACTTCGAAGCAACTGTCAATTGGTCAAAACTAGATGTACGTATGTGCATATATATATATGAATATATATATATACATACTAACATAGATGCATGTTCTTTCCTGCTTGGAAGGCTACAGTGTGCGACTCCGGCTCACGTACTTACTGGGCGATCGTGGCTTTGCGGTTCTATACCCCAACCTTGAGCGATTGGCCGTCCAAATGGTGCACCAAGTAGCCTGAGCCCGAGCAAGAGCACTTCTGCATCTGCTTTGTACTTTTTGCAAATGGGTCCAGTCCCCCTGCTGCAAACAGCGGAAAAAATTTCATCAATGACATGTTGAAGTAGAATTTGCAAATTTGTGTGTATATGTAAAGCGAAGAAGCGAAGCTCCATGGTGCAACGCTCCGGTTCTCACGCTCCAGAGCGGGGGTTGAAGGAATCATGCATTGCTGGTCGGGTCATTTTGTCGGGGCCTGGAGAAAAAGCTAAAGTCGAAAGCAGAGGTGGTGGAAAGGCCACAGAACTGTCAAGCTTGATTCGCTAGCTCTAGCGGCACATTTCCTACCATATACTTGCAACCTCCCTAGTGTCATAGCCCTGACTGCTTTCATAGAAGCGCAATCCCTCCTATTGGCACTAGATTGGATGCAAAAATTCTGGTCCTTGCCCATTGCCCACCATTGTCCAAGAAACCATCAATGCCAGCCGCGGCGAAGACACCGACAACTTCATCGAGCAAGGGTGTCTTTGGCCTCAAGACAAATTCACTGTGAACAAACTTGGATGCAAAGAGCAATCATATCAATAGCAAAATATGATTGAAGACTCATATATGATTGCAAATACGACCGCTGTATACACATTTTTTGCAATCATATCATATCAATAGCACTCATGCCGATAGACTCATTGCAAAATATCTGTGTGTATATATAAGTTATAAGTGGGTTTTTGCATGCCGGTAACCGCTGCGTGTAGCAGGGGAGCAGGAGCTGATAGGTGCTTGGTGTTCTGCAATGTGTCCTTTCAATCAATCAGTGTATATATCACAGTTGGATTGTTGTGGAGAGTGGAGAGTTGTTGAGGGGTCTTTTTGAATTGTTTTGGAGGGTTGTTGAGAAGTTGTCTAATTGCATTCAATGTTCACATGTGTCAAACAAATTCTACATTCACGTTGCAAGCTCAGCTCGGACGTGCGGATAGTTTGATCTATTGCCCCTGAGAAAAAATTATGGAGGGTTTAAGCTGCTTTACATTTACATGCTTCAGGCATCAAAGCAATGATTGGAGAAACATGGTGGCACTGAAGGTTGACGCATTAACCAATTCCAATGAGATTCATAGATGATTTGTTGGGTTGCATGAAATCTTGATAGCTACATTGCAACATCATGGTTGGAAATTGGGCACCAGCTCCAAACATGTAAACATCAACACTGACATGAGGTTCAGTGCATTGCAAACACCATTAATGACCTACCAACAATACCCTCGCATAGTCGCATAGGGTTGGAAATACACACTGCAGAATTCCCAATTCAATAAACCATTGCAATACAGGAAACATACCAGTCCTGAACGGCACAAATTGACATATACACTGAGGTCCAGTCGGCAAAGCAGCGTTCTCCATGGCAGACCATGCTTCTTGAATGAAAACACGATGCCTCACAGTTAGAGCAATAGTGTCTCGGAGTAAAAACGGCCGAAGGGAAATACAATGTTTTTGCTGGTTTGTCCGAGTGCCAGGCGTGGTTGCAAACAAGATTTTCTGCGGTTTCGACAAAATTACAAATCGTTGGCGAAAGGAAAAGAAGCCTTATACTTGCAAAGACACATGTGGTGGGCCACACGTCAAGGCAAATCTTGTCATACAGAAACATCCGCACTCTAGTTGTTTAATGTTACCTTTTGGTTTGTTCCACCAAGCAACGGGACTCAACATCGCCCTGCACAACACAAAGTTTTGAGGATCTCCACCTGTATGCGCCACTAGACTTGAATATGCACTACTCACTACGACATGGAAGAGCATCTCACTTGTTAAATTTGTCTCAAAGGCTTTGTTGCTAGACATATTTCGGGATGTCTGCTCACCACTTCAAACCTCTTCAACAACTAGGCGTGGGACTGTGGATCCATCATCGAAGCCTGTCAAAGCCACTGCCCCAAGGAGGCAAAGAACAAGCACATTGATGGAAAGTAGGGTGGAAAAACAACATGAAGCCGACACTGGGCTCGTGAAGTTCCAACTAAAAGTTCAATCTAGCATTGTCACCCGAGTCCGAGTCCTGGTTTGGCCGGTGCTCTTTGTCCATCTTGCGCATACCCGTTCAAGGCATGGCGAAACCCGCGTCTTTATGGGCGGAGCGAGTCAGCAAGCTCGCCACACCCGCTGTGGCAAGCCAATGGTATGGCCAGCTTTGCTTTCGAGGACGGCACTTTTGAGCATCAAACGTAGGCAGCCCGAGGCGCTTCAATGCCGAGGCGCTTAAGATGTATCATAGCTGTCGAGGATGGGCGCGAAAAACGTTGGTCCAATGCGTTCGGTCCGCACGGCACTTCGACAGCGGCTGCGTTGGCACTCACGCGCCGAAAGCTGTGAGACCGGGCTACGGCACTGCCATGCAAGCATTCGACTGCGGTATCGACTGGTCAGACTTCAAGCCGGAACTCTTTTGTTGGACGTGCGTCACTGGACCCTCTGTGGCACGTACTGCGGTATCGACAACCTCGTCGAAGGGGAGGACAGTTCGGTGGCCCTTCGGTGGCGCCGTGATGCGCCCGCGCCCATTGATTTCGGACGCGGACGGCCGCTGGTCTTTCTTGGATCTTTTTGTCCTCCCCTTGTTGGGGCGCAGCTTCAAAAAGGGCGCGGAGCTAGTCATAAGGATTCTGAAACAGCTTACGTTTGGTACTGGCGCACGCCAGTCCGAGGGCTCTCCGTCATCCAGATGCTGTCTCAAGTCTCAGTCTCGCTAAAACATCTCACAGCGTCGACAGCTAGTAGCGATGCACTTGTTACTAGTAGCTTCTAGTATAGGAAACCAGAAGCTGTGCTGGATTGGGCATGCGGGCGCTAATCTACACGCAAAAAGACCAAGAGAGCGAGTGCTCGATCTCTCGTGGCGTCCGTGTCGACACGCGGCAAGGCAACAATACACGTGCTGTCTCGCAATGGCTCACTGAACTTGGAACTTCTTTGACATTCACTGCAAGCTCTGTCAGCAAGAGCATGGCTCACTGAAAAGAAACCCTTTGACCCTCATACTGGCCTAACTTTGTACAGTAGGTTGCAAATACTCGCCCACAGCTCCACAACTTTCCCAAGTCGGGGCTCCATGATGGCTCCACGAAGGTTCTTGGGGCTCATGTGGAGGACTGGCTCAGCAATCACGCAAACCAACACTGGATTCCTAGGGCACACAACCCTTTATAATATGCCTATATAGGTTACCCCTAACCCTCGGCTCTTTGGGCAGAGCTAGTCAGCTACTCGCCAAACATCCTACTGCTGTAGGTTTTTTTCCTTAGCAATCTTTTTTTGGATCTTTGCAGTTTCCTGAGTCAACACACTAGATCCTGAAAACCCTGTAGATAATAAATAGTTAGGAGAGCACCAAAATGAATGAGGCAAAACGCCGTTGCTGGCTCTCGCCTCATGCCGACCAATTCCAAAAAAGACATTGTCAAACTGGTCAGCATCGTTGATCATATAGGCGGCAGGCCTAAAGGCAATGACTCCTCTACTACTCAGTAGTCCTTTTACAGCGAAGATTGACAGCAATTAATCAGTTTTTCATTGTGAATCTCGATACAAGAATCAAAACCATGAACTTCTAAATCAACTAATGCCATTGGGTGTGCATATACATTTTCAATCTGTCCCAAGTCTAGATTAATCTTCCTTATTATGTTCGCAATCCTTTCTTTGCTCCAAACCCAGAGTCTGAGGCTGTGACACGAAGTCTTTGTGTCCCAGGGTTGTTTCAGGAACACCTTTGCCTGCTCATCACAAAAACCCGGGACTTGACCTGTTGAGCAAACAGCAAGTGCCACTGCATGTGAAAGAATATGTTATATATATATATATAAGTTTGCGAGGACGTTGTTTCAGGTGATTATGTGACACCATCAAGTGCACACTGCTCAAGTGGACATAGGTGTGTTTCTGCATGTCCGTGCATGTGAGGCCGTGTGTGCGCGTGCATGTGCATGTGTGTGTGTGTCCCATCCTGTATCTAAGGGACTCTCGACTTTTCCAATTGAATGCAGGGGGCTCACGGGTCTGTTCCTGGCGTGAGCCAACGAAGCTCCAGGTTCAGACTAGGATATCGAGAGGGGACGCTCTCTCGACGTACCTGCACTTTTTTGAGCTGTTGATAACGCTGTGACCCCAATTCTCCCCACACCACCACTGAGCCACGGCTTTTCAGCCGCTGATCGATCGCTGCTTGCCGCCGATTTTTCTGCATTGTAACCCATTGTTCAAACACCTTCACATCGACTGACCCAGCCTTTCCGTTTGCATTAGAGTCAAGTGTCGTGCAACCGTGGATTATCTTACTGAATGAACCTTGTCGAAGTGTGTGCCAATCCCTGCAGGCTAACTCTTCTCCAGGGACATGTCAGCAATAAAATACATAGGGCAAGGTCACTTCAAACGTGCTGCTGTACAAGGAAGGCACATGCACACTCCAACTGGGGTTGGGGCCTTTAGTGTGAGAGCTCATGTGGATCTTGAAGGAACTGCATGTTTGAGAAGAATGCATCTTCAAAGAATTGCTTCTTCGACATCCAGCTGATCACCCTCACTGTTGGTGGCACAAGACACAAGGCTGCTGGCAATTGAGGTTCAAAATTGTGCTCTCTTATGATACGTCATTAGACGAGTTGCATTCTGAGCAGTTCCACCCAATCTCACAAAGTGTGGGCTCTTGTTCCAAATATAGATATAAAGAAACAAATTGTGAAAAAAAATGAAAAGAAACAAATTGTGAAAAGCCCTTTTTCATAAAACCCCATCAGGAATCAGGAGACCCTATTTGTACCTTTTTTCCCTAATAATTCCTTTGCTTCTTCAACTGTTGTGCTGTAATGTCATAAGTTCATTGGCATTGGTTCTCGGCATTTGTGCTCCGGGTTGCAAGCGTGGTGCATCTAGAGAGAGTTTTTGGCTTCCCTAGTGATCCTAGTGTCTCCTTCGTGTCAGGAGAATTTGTGAAACTGAGCTGGCTTGGGCCCTTGCTTGGGACATCGCACTTGCAAGTAGGAGATGGTGTGCTCACCTTTTCAAAGCACTCCACCTATCTACACATATATATATATGCATACATACAGTATATGTCCATACAAAGGAGAAAAAACAATCAAATGACTGTTGCAAGTTGTGGATGTTGAATACAGGGGCCTCATTGCCAAGGCTGGTCTGCACCAAAAGCGCAGTTGGATCACTTTGTTAAGGAAGGAGGCAAATGATCTTGCAAGGTATGTTCTGATAAAGGGCGTGGTACTCACCGCGCTTTTGAACGTTGTGTGGTTTCAAGCCCAAGTGAGCCTCAATCAAACAACTTGTTTCTATGGTGCTGAAGAACGTGGAAGCCGGCTAAAGCACGTAGCTAATCAAGGATGTCACGGTGTACAGAAAAGTCTTCCAAAAAGACTCATGTGTTATGTAGATACCTTGGCGGTAGGTTTGATCAACCCAGGTCATGACAATTTCTGTGCCTAACACCTATTAGCCTTGCTACACCTATTCTATGCCATTGTATTCAAAAAGTGCTACACCTGGTTGTCATTTGCCTCGTAAGAACTCCTTGGACAAAAAGGTCACGGATACTGCTGACCTGGAGCAAGCCAGAGGACGAAAAGCCCGTGAGATAGTAGAAGGAAGTTTCATATCGGGTTTGCCTGCGTGTGTAATTTGATCTTGAATGTTGCTGGCAAACACTGAAGCAAGAAGGTAGCTGAGCGGAAGCTGGGTCTTGTGGGGAGTCCAGCAGGATAACGAAGCTAACAGTTCCAAAGCTTTGTACCCTGGGTCCTTGTCCCAAGGTCTACTTTGGCCCGAAGCACTTAGACTTGGCTTAGACATGCGTTTATTCTTTGATAGGTCCCTCCCAGCCATCCGTGGGGTAATCCTCAAACGTTCAATCCAATGCAGCTGCACGAGCATACGGTAAAGTTCGGCCTGAGGATGTTCTCCCAAAAGTGATCCACAGAGTCAGCACCTAGGCAGCTGAGCAAAGCTGGGCAAAGCTCAGCAATACGTACGGAAGAGAAACATAGAGAAACACTGTGTTTGGGTTCTTGACGTTCCTGCCAGTCCTCGAAAAATTGAAGAGCCCCCCCGTGGCAAATCCGAAACTCATCCACTGGTTGAGGTTCTATCTTGGGCAAGACTCCCATCAGCATTGAAAGTAAGTAATGTTGACATAGAGTTAAGTAACCTTCCAATATTGATCAGGCCCAGCCCGAGCCCCCCAATAATAAACTAATCTCACACGTAAATTTCCACATTGGCATCACCTAATTAAAATCGTCCCGTGGCAAACGACTCCCCCTATCAAGCCCATCTGCACCCAGAAAAGAAAAATAACATATATAGTTCATTAGTATATATATATATATTGTTTAAAGCTGCAATCTAAGCTACCAGTGTTCTCCCAAGCAACCTTTGTTCCACAATCCCCAGAAACTCTCTAGCAAAAAAACTATGGCATTTTCCCTTATTAAAACATGATCAAAATCTTCAGGTTTCCAAGCTCACAAAGGGAATCCCATCAATCATCATTTTCAGGCCATTATCTTTGTTAGGGGGGATCTGGTCTCCAATACCTCCAATCTCAAACATTGTTGACCTTGTTGACCTTGAAGGGGGCGCCCTTTGATTAATCCTACCTCGACAATAGCTCAAAGAAGAAGAGATGAAAAACAATTGGTAAGGGCCCCTTTAATAAGGCCTTACCTTCAACAAGGCCTCCGTTAAAGGGGCCTTATTAAAGGAGCGCTTACCTCCGTATGCGACGTCTGCAGCTTCTCTTTGTTCTTGTTAATAGCCTTTTTGTTTTCAAGTCGTCTTGAAGCAGCAAATGCTGCAGACCTAAGACCTCCTAACTGTGTTGCCTACGAATTCGCCGATTGATTGCAAAGTGCCTTGAAAGAGTGCCATTGCCCTGAAGCAATGTGCTGCTTCGTTCCTGATCCTGTATTCTTTCCAACTCCAACTCCAAGCAGCAAGTATTCTTTCTTCAGGGTTGCACCAAGTATATTTTCTTGTGAAATGTCTTGCTGCGTTCCGGAAACACCGGAATTCCACTTCCCACCGTTAGACCTGCCTGGGAATTTCCCAGAAAAGCCTGCGATGGACAGCTTGGGAGCCTCCGTGGCTTCGCACCACTTTGTCCAAGAAGGGGATGCGACAGTTTCTGCATCAAACCATCTTCAAGGATCCTAGGTTGATAGAGAAAGGGAATGTGAAAAATACTTTAAAGGGCAGGAATATCAAAAGGTATCGTCAGAAGATTCTAGAGTGAGTCAGAGAGTGCAAAGGATCCTGACGCAAGCACCAGAAGCTCTCCCAAGTGCCAACCTCTCGAGGTGGATCATGATATCCTCAAGAAAGGTCAGTCAATTCACTTTGGCTGGAGGCCATCGCTATTAGGCTGGAGGCCATCGCTGTTAGGTTGGAGGCCCTGGTGGCCAACGTTACTAGGTTGGAGGGCATCGCTCTTAGGTTGGAGGCCATCGCATGTGTTGAATTTGTTGCTAAAGCAACGGCAAAGCCACGAAAGTGCCGTTGGTGTGGCTTACCCTTCAGCCAGTTGTCATTCTTCTTTGGTGGGTGTGGCAAGAAAACACAGTAGACCTGCTAAAAGTTGGTCCATCAATCTTTTTAGGAGGGATGTCTGTTGATCAACAAACATGGTCTTCGTTGCGTTTGTCCGATTTGACAAGCGCAAAAATTGCCTTCGCAGTGTTTGCATGCAAATGATGCATAAATGAGTTGAGTTTTGCCAGCAATCTGTACAGTACATAAACATGAGTCAACCCAAGAAACACTGCCGAGTCACTTATGGAGCGTGGAGAGAGGATTGCACTACCTAGGCCAGTTGCAATCAGCTCAACAACGGCGACCCTGAGCTTCATGAATCAAGCAAATGAGGATACAACTGTCAGGATTCTGTGCCACTGCATATTCACCCTATAGAACTCACTCTCGCAGCACGAGTATCAAGAAATAAACCAAAAAAGAACAACCCTACTCATCCATACTCATCCAAGGGCTTGTCCCACCAACAGTGCCTTAAGAGTCTTGATTCAATTAGCAATTAGTGTCCCAGGGAGTGCTGGTATAAACTTGAGGCCAGGAAAGTGGTGGCAAAAGCACGTCTCCGTGCAATCCTGGTTCAACGAAACAACGATGCCTGGCTGCAACGGCCAGCTGGGGGAGTCTAGTGAAAGATCACTGTGTTGGCCAAAGGCCAGCAAATACCATTGCAAACTTAGCCATTCCATCGGGGGGGGCATTCTCTTTCCCCTGGAGGTGTAAAAGTGCAATGCGTCGGCAGCACTCTAATTCCCACCTGCTTCCAACTCCACTTTGGACTCCACAAAGTCGCAGAGCGCCTACCCGATGATGGGAAACATCCCAAACACAAAGCATTGTGCCAAAAAGAAAGTGATGCGGTTGGGAGAACCGCTAAACAGTCCAAATTGATAAAGAAACTGCTAATGAGTGCGTGAGAGAGGAAGGACCTCATTGGCCAACTGCTGGGATTTCTGAGTCGTGACCACATCCCAAAGTGCTTAAGAACACAAATTCACTCCCGTCCTGTAAGGTGGAGTGGCTGTAAATGTCCAACACCTCTTCGCAGGAAAAATGTCTCTCCACATCCTACTTAGTCTCTAGCACTGGAAGGCGAGACCGCTTCATGGAAAGGATAATGTGCATGCATATCCATATTTCATCATATTTCCATGGAAACTGGTGTGCGTATTTTTCCCATGGTTGATTTCATTGAAGCTCCTTTACTGAGGAATTTAGTTTGAATCTAATTATATAACGGGTGCGTGGCAGGACACACTTGGCTTCAGGCAGTCACGGGCAAGGTGTACTCACCCGAGAGTTCCGCTGCCATCTTAGCAGCCAATGCAGAATGTCCACCCAAATCGAAGAAGTTCTCCTCACACACACACACACGAGGGCCATGAACGGCCTAGTACAAACTTCTTGAGGGCCCGTTCACGCATTCTCGTTGGATGGCAGGTTCGTTCACAAGGTTAAACAGTCACTTTATCAGTTTACCTCCTATCTCGATTGACATCTTTAGGCAAACGACACTTGCACTGTGCAGTTCTACTCATGACACCATCTGGCCCAAATATCAGTGGCTACTGCGGCTACTACTTGTTGCTTGCACGAAAGGGTCTTTATTATTGTAGTATTCTGTGTGTCGAGAACTTCTTCTCTCCTCCTCCTCCACCTCCTCCTCCACCTCCTGCGACCTGCTCCTCCTGCTCCTCCTGCTCCTCCCCCTCCTCCTCCTCCTCCACCTCCTCCACCTCCTCCACCTCCTCCTGCTCCTCCTCCTCCTCCACCTCCTCCTCCTCCTTCCACCTCCTCCTCCTCCACCTCCACCTCCACTTCCACCTCCACCTCCTCCTCCTCCTCCTTCTCCTCCTCCTCCTCCTCTTCCTTGTCCTCCTCCTCCTCCTCTTCCTCTTCCTCGTCCTCGTCCTCGTCCTCTTCCTCGTCCTCTTCCTCGTCCTCTTCCTTGTCCTCCTCCTCCTCGTCCTCCTCCTCCTTGTCCTCCTCCTCCTCCTCTTCCTTGTCCTCCTCCTCCTCCTCCTCTTCCT